ACGAGATTCTCCTGCCACCAAACTCGACACACTCCACACCACGACTGCGCCTAGAAATTTTGTCCATAAAGGTTATGAACAGAACCGGTGACAAAGGGCAGCCCTGGCGGAGTCCAACCCTCACCGGGAACAGGTCCGACTTACTACCGGCTATGCGGACCAAACTCACGCTCCTCTGGTAAAGGGACTGAATGGCCCTTAACAGAAAGCCACCCACCCCATACTCCTGGAGCGTCCCCCACAGGGTGCCCCTGGGGACACGGTCATAAGCCTTCTCCAAATCCACAAAACACATGTGGATTGGTTGGGCAAACTCCCATGCCCCCTCCATCACCCTTGCAAGGGCATAGAGCTGGTCCACAGTTCCACGGCCAGGACGAAAACCACATTGCTCCTCCTCAATCTGAGATTCAACTATCGATCGGACCCTCCTCTCCAGTACCTTGGAGTAGACCTTTCCAGGGAGGCTGAGGAGTGTGATCTCCCTATAGTTGGGACACACCCTCAGGTCACCCTTCTTAAAGATGGGGACCACAACCCCAGTCTGCCACTCCACAGGAACTGCCCCCGATGACCATGCAATGTTGCAGAGACGTGTCAACCACAACAGCCCTACAACATCCATAGCCTTGAGATACCCAGGACGAATCTCATCCGCCCCCGGGGCTCCACCGCTGTGTAGTTGTTTGACTACCTCAGCAACTTCTGCCCCCGAGATTGAACAGTCCATTCCCAGGTCTCCTGGCTTTGGTTCCTCCTCGGAATGCGCATAGGTGGGATTGAGGAGCTCCTCAAAGTATTTCTTCCACCGTCCGACTATAGCCCCAGTTGACGTCAGCAGGTCCCCATCCCCACTGTAAACAGTGTGAGCGAGTTGCTGCCTTCCTCTCCTGAGGCGCCGGACAGTTTGCCAGAACCTCTTTGGTAGTGTATTATTGTGTAATTACAGTGTATGGCTGTAATAAAGTGTAATTATTGTGTAAAGCAGCATTTACTAGCAATTATTAATACAAATAAAAACTAAAATTGAACCTGTGTTGCGTGGTAATAACAGTTTAAGAACTCAGAAACAATAATACACTTTAACTTACTATGTAATTACCATGTAAGTACTTAGTAATTAGGGGACTGTAAAAGAAAGTGTTACCTTTACATGTTATTTAATGCTTTATGAAAGGTTCAAGCAGCACTTTACATAACTCACTCCTGACTTTGCTCTTTTATATGTTTATATTTCTCTCTTACACTTTTTACCTGGTTGACATGCACACCTGCAGCGTTTCCAGACCGTCTGCAGCCCGCTGCTGTTTAGGTCGTGCAGAACCAAGCCGGCTGCATAACCGTGACAGTTTAATAAATTAACCTCGTTACCGAACCGTGTCAGTCACATTAATGCATCTAATCAGTTGGTGGAGTTTCAATTAGCGCAGCAGAAAGCATGTTCACATTCCAGAATAATCCGACACACAGATTAAACAGTTGGATTTGTGGTTTGGACTCGGTTGTAAACCTGCAGAATCTTTCATTTTTATTTTCTGCAAAAACAAAAACATGATGAATGTTTGCTTTGATTTCATTCATTAATCCTGCTTCTGTAAAATAATCCAGCTCATCATTTGAATGATTTTCATACATAAAATAATCTCGGTCATAATCTCAGTTATAACAAACGATGGCCGACCTGAAACCAGCAGAACTGAACCTAAATCGTCACTTACCAGGATGAGTTTAGCAGAACCTTAAGCAGAACTTTAGGGGAACTCGTCAAAGTGCTCGTTAATCTGCTCAGATTAATTCATCTGAGTTCATTAGACTGCTGTTTTCTACAGAGATGATGTGTTTGTCGGTAACAGATTTAGTTTAGCTATCATTCTGATTTACAGCTGATATCCTACCGGCGGAGCAGACGTTTCCTCTAATCTGAATTTAAACAGGAGAAGCATCTCCACCCAGAGACATGACGAGGACGAGTCACCGCTCCTCGGATCCGTCCCTGAGATGTTGTTCCGAGTCAGAGCCAACAGCCACAGCTCCTCCATGAGCTCCAAGTCTCTCCTCCCATCTGATTTATGCCGATATACTCACCTTGAATCCCAGCGTGTCATCCTTCTGGAGTCGGACTCTGTGAGCTGGCAGGAGAGGTGGGATTTATGGACTTCCTGTCAGTGGTTTTGGCTGCGAGGTGGCCCGGGACCATGAGTCTGATTGGCTCAGGGAGGCGGCGGTATGTGGGTGTCCAACGCCCCGAGGTGAGGAGCACCTGCCCCCTCCCCTGATCTGCTGTCACATCAGGGCATTGGGCTAGAGTCCAGATTAAGATTAAATAATTCACTTCTAAACCTCGGCAGTACCTTGGTGTTGCTTCAGCAGCATTTAAAAGAAAATGAGACAAAATAAAGTCAAAAATAGAAAAACCTCAACACAAATGTGTGAGCTATAGAACAATAATCTGTTCCCAGATTAATAATCCTAGAAGAAAATAATAAAAAGACTAATTATGATGCTATAAATTATTTTTACATAATAAAAATGTTGAGCATTCCGGCGTTCAGACAGACAGGAAACCGAGACCCGAGAAGAGTGTTTGGAGATACATTCGAGATTTCTTCGAGACTTCTCCGGGAACGTTGCCCAGGGTGATCCTGGCTTTAGGGAACTCGTGACTGATTTATACCATTTTTTCAACTGGACTATTTCCCAGGAATACTAAAACTAATTGTCCCCCAAAGTTCAGGATTCCTCTTAGAGCACGAAAACGTGGAGAGCCAAATCCGTTAAACAGAAATCTGAGATCAAATATAAAAGATTTACTCTCAAACACCTTCAGGTCACATTTAGGTTTTGTTTTGCTCCAGCTCTTTGTTTTGTGACATCATTACATGATGATGTCATGAGGTTGGTCTGCCTGACGAGAATCAAGCAGGTTCTGGTGGTTTTGGTGTAAACCGTCCAGAAAGATCCAGTAGAAAGTGTGTGTGTGTGTGTGTGTGTGTGTGTGTGTGTGTGTGTGTGTGCGTGTGCGTGTGCGTGTGTTATTATTATTAATGTTGTTGTTGTTATTTTCAGGATGAATCTCAA